AAAAATTCACCAGATCCAGATATAGAAATGGCAGGCAATTAGGAAATTGTGAAGTTTTGGAATTATATCAACTTGAGTCAATGTATTCTTACTTTCTTACGGACTTTAGTGAAATGATATTCCTACATCAAATTGAGTAAAAACTGAAGGAAAAATAGTATCAAACTATGCCTACACTATGTAACAAAACATTGTTGTTCCTAATTTTATTAAAAGATGTTCAAATACTTTCTTCAGCTCATTTGGGTTTAGTCATTATTTAAAGCTAAAAATGAAGATACTTGGAAAAAAAAAATATGGACATTAAGTAAGCATTCGCAATCTATTTTTATTTCTTTAACAGAGTTTAATAACATATGTTATTAAAATAACTGACATAATTATTTGTTTGTTAATAGGTCAATAATCAGCTATAATTATCTACAATTTATGTTTTTACGTAATTCGGATCCTTGCCATCAATCTTCAATTCATGCATGCGCCAGGCAAAGATTACTGAACAGTTTTTCTGATACCAAGCCGCTTTCGATTCTCGGTGCATACATTCGGGTTTGAATACACTTAGAAATTCTCGTCAGGAATTATTCGTCTCGTTTCATGCACACGTTAAATGAGAAACATCGATTCGACGAAAATCGTATTCGGACTTAACGAGAGTGGAAGTTACAGAATAATGTGCAACCGGTTGCACTTCAAATATTATTACCAAGTTCTGACTCTGTTTCAATAAGAGCGACCGAGTTTCGACTATCTCCAGGAAATATTTGTCTACCGCGATATGAAGGTTCCTTTTTCATCCTCACGCGTGTTTTATTGTTTCATTATTTTACGAGCATGCAATTATTGGATTTGCATGGTGTTAGACTTACGGAGGAAACAAATGGGCGTTTATACCTTGAAGTTAGCAGAGAATAATAATTGCTGTCGTTAAGATAAATTATTCGAGCGACCGCGACTGTCGGCGAGTAGTTATAATTGCCACGCTTATGAATATTAATACTTGATATACTTATTTTACGCGCTCCATAAAAATGCCGGAAGCTCTTTGAGAGTATGCCAATAAGGTCAAGTACGAAATGATATTTTCATTTAAAAATGAGTTGACCTAACTTTACACACTGTGTATCCCAGAAAAAGTGTTAGAGCCGGAAAGGGGTGATTCAGGTATTTTTGAACAACAGTTTCCTTTGACAAAATGCAAAGAATTTTTGAATTATTAACGAAA